AGTACTCGATAAGCTACGTTTAAATCGACTATAGCTACATGTATCTATTGCAAAGTATTGTCTATAGTAGATCTGGTATAGTTGATGATATGATATCAAGTGTATACCTAAGCCAGGTGTAGACGTACTACAAATGATTTGTACATACTACAATTTCCAAACCATAACAACGTAGGGGATGGGTAGCGTTACGAAACTATTTATTCCCTGTAATTATTTGTCGTAAGTGTGGTATTATGGTATACGTATTAATGTGCAAAGGGCAAAAACAGCGAATATTTAAATGGAACATTTTGTGTTACACACGTACTCCCTCTATTCAGCCTGGAGATATTTGACTGGGGAAGTGCAGATGAACCCGCGGCAAAACTGATAAATGTCCGATAATTAGAACCTGAAGACTCCCAGAGGATGTAATGGGCACTGTACATTTATGGAGTTGTGTGGAGCTCAGTCTCGTGGTATTCTAGATATGCCACTAGATAAAATACTAGCTGAGTACACCCGCTTTTGGTACTATACGTTACTGTTAAAATAAGGCGCACATGCGCTATATATGTACATGTATCTGGCTTTAACGTGTAAATGTATGAATTCTCCATGTCTATAGGGATTATCGGTAAGAAAACGCCCTTTATATATGCTAGAGTACCATTAGGCTCTGCACATATGTGTACATGATTGTGCGAATATACATGTAGATACAAGAGGTATTTATAAGGGTTCGTAGAGTATAAGTTGTTGACATGTGCGTGGATATATAGTACGTACAAGTAGCCGCTGGTGGAATAAGAGTGAAACTAGGCGGATTTTCCGGCTGATGGTGGTTTCTATTCTGAGGTGAATATTGTTGAAAGGGAGATCAGCTAGATCAAGAACTACATGTATGCAAAAGCTTAACTCGAGTACCAGCCGCTATGGAATATTCGCCGCAGCTTGGAGCCGGAGGGATATGTAAGATCTAAGGGCTGCAACATGCAATTTGATACCTTATGATAGCGGCTGCTGTACTGGTACTATAGCGCCCCCGGCCCAGAGTCTGGGATTTATCAGGATGAACGAAACCCGCAATTCGCGACCGTTATTACTTTGTACATCTAGCGCCAGTATCGACACTCGGGACAATGTATGTATACATATATGTAAGTATGTGTACGGGGCGGTTGGTGTTAGCGACACATCGAGTCATGAATTCACATGAAAGGTACAAAACCACATGCATGAATAGGTGATGGGGACACGTCGCATACAAGTCCCTAATATGACGGCACCAGCTCAAATCAGTTGAGGGGATGTCTGACAGCTCAAACGGAAGCTCGTAGAGTTCAAGCACATACATACTAGAGAAACTCTAGTGTATCCGTTGTCGAGATCCCCACACTTTCGTCTGGCTGGTGTCAGCGGTACTTTTGCTAGCGCCTGGTGGACCCTTCGCCGGGCTTTCGGTGAGTGGGTTAGGGTGTGAGGTTGAGAAATCACCTCCCCGGGTAGTTTAATTCTGCCTACCCACCAACTATAATATGTTTAGAACCAGCTTGAGATGCTTCAGAGTGCCGGGATAAGAGTGTTGGCGTGATCCCTTGACTCCGATCTCTCTAGCTCTTTCTTTCTCGCTCTCATTTTCATGTGGCTACGAAAATCGCTCAGGCTTCCTAGTACGTAGGAAAACATAAAGGCAGCTGGTAGGCAGGCAGACCCTGTATAATTTACTTCTTCTATATGTTCCCGGTTTCTAATTTAGAAAAGTGCACGCGAAAGAAAGCAAGAAAGGAGGAATAATATTAAGAAAAGAAGATGGTGGTGATCATGATGATAATATGGTTCGCTGTATCACGGAAAGTACAGCCATCCTGGTATGCATTGTGAACGTTGAAGCTGAGGATATGGACATCCCTTGACTCCAGCTGGCGCCATGGCGTTCATTGCGACTTGAGATAGTGTCTCGTACAATATTACCGATACGATGTATAGATAGAGTATGTATAGTAGAGTAGCAGTACAGTACGATAAGTGAAGTCTCTACTATTTAATTGATACTGCAACGTTAGGTCAGTAGGCTAGGAGAGTTAATTTGTTTCCCCTCGATCCCACCTCGTGCCACAAACGCGCAGCCCCACCCGTACAACCACAACCATCAGCATGCAGTTAAAGCTTGCGTAAGTGTGGGAAGTAAGCACAGACGATTATGCAACTGCCACCTCCCAGTACCGCTTCTCAGTAAGTCCGTGCACGGCTACTGAGCATGTATTTTATCCCAGTCCTTCCTGGTCGACTTCGGGCTAAGTAGCACCCAAGTCCCTCCTCGCAATGTTCGGGTCTGGCTTCAGATTCGCCAATTTAGCTGTTACCATATCTGATGCGTTTCCTTCATCCATGGTCCGGACCCATAAGGCTTACGAAAATTGACAGGGCGCTGATCATTCACAAGGGTTTTTCTGGAGAGGCAGGTGGTGGCCCGTAGTGTAGGTGAGAGCAGAGTACCTACAGTACACATTCGTAAGTGGATTTGCATCACACACGGCAAGTGGAAATCTCCGTGGTTTGCCTCGTTTTAGAGCCCCATTTACGTCGAGTAATGTTTGATGACGAGCATGAGGAGAATCCAACAGAGCCTCTTTCTTCACACTATAAGTACATGTACCTGTGGATACAGGTCAACATTCATAATTACTGCCATGCTCCCCCGTTACAATCGCCAGGTAAAGCACGATAGAGCAGATACATGTTAGTAGGTACTGAGTTCTCTACTAGTGGATATAACACAACACTACTCTTAACGCTCTAGCTGTAATAAGGACTTGGATTATGAAAACAACGTGTTATGCAGCTACCTACTTGAAGTTTACACACACACCCACCCGTCCAATGACAAAGCGCCCTTCTTCCTAGAACAGTCTTGTATGTGTATCTACATACTTAGACAAATCCCCGGACGTGAGAGATCGCCGCTTCACACACTCACCCAAATGTTTGGTCATTGATTCACCGTCTCTTCTGGACTTGTACCTACATTGATATCTAGTGTTCCTATGTACTGTCTCGTTGGTGTTCTTGAATTCAACTCGGGACTTTGTTGGACAAATGGGGAAATAATTATCTTTTATGTACATGTCCAGGCCCTGGACAACTTGTCTTGAATATCCCACGGCCTTTCCCACTAGCCCTGCTCTCGAAGAATCTCGCCCGCGGGCGTACCTCCCTTTCGCGATTGACGGGCATGTATGCATTGTGAGAAACAATTGGGGGGGTGGAGGGAGGGGGGATGGTGAGTTATAAATGGGAACCCGGAAAAGACAGGAGAGAAGGATGAAAGATAGCTGGTGCTTTGCTGAAGCCAGCGCCCAGTGTTACAGCTTAATCAGGTATGTACATTTTAATGTGAGTACAGATGTACATAACTGCATGGTTGAAAAGTGACGGGGGTTGCCAGTGGAAAGAGAGAGATTGATTCCCTGCAAGATCTCATAAGACTGGTTGGCCGTGAAGGCCTTTCCCCCACGGATATACACTCTATCCGTCCCCTTTCCCCGTTACCCTCCCCCTTTCCCAGGCATAGAAGAGGGTGAAGGAGAAGGAGAAGAAGGAGAGGCAGCACAACGGCGGCAAGCAGAAACAGAAATACGCACAAACCTGGTAAACGTGCAAATTCGTTCAACTGATATCTTCTTCTTGCCATCTCCGGCGGGCCCGCCATTCGATCTGCCATTATCAAACACCCAGCTCACGGCGGCGGTGGTAGTGGTTGTGCTCGTGTTGCTCTCCCCTCCCGCCCAAAGCGTCTATTCCACCCAATTTCTCAAGTACTTGTTTTGCGGTTTTCTTCCTTTGTTTTTCGGGAAGAGAAAATCAATTAAGAAAATCTATAATTAAAAAGGGAGAGAGAAACGGGAAAGGAAAGAAAAGAAAGAAAGGAAAAAAAAAACAGAACGAAGAAAAAGTAAAAAAAAGAAACCCATAACACAGGCAAAACCCCAATAACAAAACAATTCCCCCCCCTCCTACAATTGCAATTCCTTCCCCCCGAGACCCTGACAAGCCCGACGTTCCCATTTGGAGAGCAACTTAACCATTCATCCATCCATCCAGACTATCCGCACTTTGCCTCGCCTCTAGTGCGTCACACTGATCTACGCGCAGGAACTTTCACTGCACATAGCATATATTAGATCACGGGTACCACAAGCACTGTTGTTGAGGAGGTGGGGAATCCTGAAGATTTTTGGCTTGTGTGGTCCGTGGTACGGAGGTACTTATAACTTATAACGCAACAGCAAAACAACCGCTGAGGGTACTCCTTGTTCCGTTCCCGCGCTGCTGAAGCTGTCCGTTCTTAGAATTTGGACATTTAGACATCTGTCTGTCTCTGTCGCACAATTGCGCATCCTGCCCTCTACAATCCCGCCCTTCCCCCCCTCCCCCCGCCAGTCATCGGCTTCAAACGCATCGCGAACTTTCCCCTTCTACTGAGTGAACCTCACTGCGTCGCCCCAATCCTACTCATCTCACTCACGCTCATCCTCCAAACTCGCGGTCTATGTTGCCTCAAGTGGCTGTCGATTCTGTTCCCCGGCGACTATTACCTCAACAAGCAATGAGCATGCAGCAAAGCATAAATCTCTCCCCGACGGACCTCGGCGGTCAAAGGGAGAACCACAGGAGTATGTTCCCCCTGGATAATTTTCCGTTCACCCCTTCAAACATAAAAATAATATAATTTAAAAATTTCTTGAAAAGAGAGAACTGTCGATGTCTTTGGTCATTAGCTAACTATCACTATCACCAAAGATTATGTTTTTGTTGATGAACACAACCGACACAAAAGGCTCAAGGGTTAGCGTTCATTTGATATTAGGATATTTGGCCCGTAAAACTAACCCAAGAGTTCAGTTATGCGAGCATGCGAAGGATGTCGACGCCGAAAAATTAAATGCGATGCTGCCACAACGAATACATGGCCTTGCTCAGCTTGTGTACGCTTGAAACTTCACTGCGTTCCGCCCATGGTACAGTATGATCGCGATTTCGCACCCAGTCAGGTTGTTATGGAACAAGAAACCAACGGGGATTTTGAGAATTCAAGTGCGAGCGGCGAAGAAGACCTTATGCAACATGCCTCGGGGCATATCGTAAGGAAGACAAGCAGGACAACTGTCCCCGGATATCACAGTAGGGACGGAAACGCCGCCTTTCGAACACTTTCACCCTCTGAACATCATGGACCATCGCATAGACCATCGAATACGCTCGCGTATCCGGGAATCACAGCTGGGGAGGTTGTAGAACCACTTCATTTTCAAGCTCCTGTTTATCAGACACAGCCCGTGATGAGGCAGCAAGACCAATGGGCGGCAGAGAGCGACTATGCATCTGCTGCCCATGTCAGTGGGGTATTAGGGCAGCTAAAAATTGACGATAGTGGTGTGGGTATGTTACGTCTTTCTGGTTTAAAAGAGTGATCTTGTAACGCTAAAATCCGGATCAGCAAACTACATATCGGCCCAAGGAAGAAGACTTGCGGAGACGCCTGCATATGAACCATGGACGGAAGAAATTGAGCCGAACCCGTCGTTTATGCCTGGACAGCATGAATTTGCAGTCAAGATAAGGCCTGAAGACATGCCTACGGACGAAGAAGCTATGGAAATGTTTGGCATATTCTTTAACCACATACACCCATACATACCGATCGTCAATAAGGCAGCATTTTATCGACAATGGAGTGCATCGCGTGACTCAATCTCACCTTTACTTCTTGAAACAATCTTTGCATGTGCTGGCAGATTGACAACAGATCCAGCGAAGGGGCTCAAGTGGATAAGCATGGCAACAAGTTGGTTTCTAATTCTTGCAACTAGATGGGAGGTGAATTGCTCACCTTTCTGTGCCCAGGACATGTTGACTGTTTTTTCGATGTACCGCGACTTAGTACGGTTCAAGCTTTGTTGCTTCTGCTCAAGGCAAGAGAATCTGCGCCGCAAAGAGGTTATTTCTTCCGCTCGTGGATGAGCGTAGTCAGTATAATAGCGATGGCTCGTGATCTCGGTCTTGATAGACACAGTGATTTGCATAAGCATGGAGTAGGATGCGGAGAGAGCCCCCTCGATTGCATGACGCGAACTCGTGTCTGGCAAGCATGTTTCGTTTTCGAACTTATGATTTGCGCTCCGCAAGGTATGCCCTTGGTTTTTGATTCGGACCGTCATTTTCTCACAACTCGACAGGCCGTGACATTATGCAGATTAATCCTGAAAGCATTGATCTGACCACACCACTTGGCTCACCCGATTTGGATGAGAATGAAGTAACTATATATCGCAACTTTATATACTTTGTATGGCTTATCAAGAATATTCGTCGGATGAATGATGTGCATGCAAAACTTAAGGCTACACCAAACTGGAGGAACGATCCTCAATTCTTGGATTCCGGACCAAGCCTTGATACCTGGGCTTATGAGCTCCCACCGAATCTTCATGTGGTGGTAGTCACTGATCTTAGTCACCCTGGTCCCCAGATAGACTCTCACTTTACAGGAAATCTTCAGATTTATTATCATTTAGCTCGGATAATGCTCCATCGTCCTGCGTTGGCCTTCGGAAAGACTTTCTCTTTGGGTGGAGAGTGGAAGACACACATGATGATATGTACAAACGCAGCGAAATCTATGCTTAGATTGGAAGAAACAGTCTTTGAGCAGTATGGGATGCTGGGGTTACAATGCATGCTCCGGGGTGTCAATTTCACCATATACGCTTTGCTCACTTGTGCTATGATACATCTGGTGAATTGAAATTTCTATATAGGCTCTTCCGATGTCTTGGCTGACCTTCAATAACAGATCGCGGCCACGTGCCCGGACCCAGAATTCAACTCAGACGCGAAAGATTATTTCACGAGAACAATGAGGATCTTAGAAAACTGCATTGATAGTTCGGCCTCATCTGAGGTTAAAGGTCAAATCGAGACTTTGCGTCAAGCTTTTTCACTCGACCTAAGTCGACCTTTTGTTTTAAATCCAAATTTTCCTTTTTACCCAGGCGTTTCCGCAGCCGTTGATCCAAGTATCACTCGAGCTTACACTCAAGGGGAAAGCCCACACTCGACCCTTACAGCTGGTGGCCCAGCGAATTATTCGCATCCTTTGTCTCCACCACATTCCACAGGCGACGGCGAGTCAAAAGGAGAATCCCCGGCAGCTGTCCAGTCATTAGTGATGTTAGCGGCAGGTCAAGGAACTCAGAACCCCCCCGCGATCGTAGACAACATGGGGTGGAATCCTTCTAGACTATTTGAGTTCGTTCCCCTAAAGAAGTTGACTGTTGTAGGATACTGATGGCTTCATAGTAATTGGAATACTGCGTTTGGGATAAATGGTTCTGTGTCAGCTATACCTTCTGGTATAGCCGGACATCATCATGAAAGTGGGTTGGTTGATCCGCTTGGCGGTGGGCGTCCACCTTCATCAAGCTCCTATGTGCCTACAACTGTAGGGGTTTCGCACTCATTCGTGTCCCCTGGTATGTGGCAAGATTCTGTAGCTGCGGCCGCCGTTTTCAGCGATTCAAACAAACGACCGTTCCCGTTTGGCGGGGAAACTGTATGGAACACTCCAGGACCGTCGCAAGACAGACCTGAGACTGTACCACCATCGACAGCCCTGCGGTCAGAGGCCGGCCGAAGAAGTCGTTAACCCCCGAAATAACGAGCACCGACGACTTCGAGATCTTCACTAAGATGCGGCAGTATGTCCACGCTTCACTGGTATCCTTGCACATTATCGAGGAACTTGAAACAAATCTCATAAGTTGTCTCCTAAATCCCTCTTTACTGTTGAATCCCAATATGCGGTGACCGCAGCACTGATATTTTCATTTCTCATTTCCTTTTGCTCGATTTCCATTGCGTTTGGCGTGCTGGCTATGTGTATAAACATGTATTTTTGGAAGGTGTTTTTTTTATGTGGACCTTGATTTTTTGGTTTGTTGTTATTCCCCATTATCAGTTATTGGAATGATTTCTCCTCCTCCTTGCTTGCTCGAGCGCCAGATCTTATTATACGGGGTAATCCTTTTCGCTTTTTTCTCTTCAAGGGGGCTAGTTTGTCTGATCGTTATAAGATTTTTTTTTCCCTTGATCCTCCCGGCTTTCTTCTTTCTTTCTTTTTTATTTCTCAAACTTTTGTGGATTGTTGGGGATCGGCATTAATGAAAGATCTTTCTATGTCTTTTTTTTTTTTTTTTTTTTTTACTTAAAAAGAGTGGCTATTTATAATAGGGTAGTTATCTGGAGGGTCGAATGATAACATTGTGATATTTATATCAGGTTCAATGGAAAATAGTATGTAGTAATCATATTACTGACCTTGAATGAGGGGTTCAATTAATTGACCATGTCCGTGGAGCATTCGGCGCCCCCACTCGAAAACAGTTGGGGGCCGTTCATTATTTTTCATAAGGCTAATGATCCCCTACATCCGATCGAGTTTTATCAGCCTTGTCGAGTAGTACCAGATCTCTTAGGTACCGAGGTGCTGGTTCATCCTGTTTAATTCCGTACCGCTGCATGCAAAGAATTGCCACTGTTGATGCTTGTTGCCGCAAGAGGAAGTAAACGCCGAAGAAGCCGCTGCATGTCAAGACTACGAATCCCAGGAATAAGATTTGACGTACCGGTATTTCCCAGATCATATGGGGTCCGGTCTTGGGTTTTGGTTCGACAATGAGATTAGCACATGCTAATTATAATTCATACTTTCCATACACGATCTAGGCTAGCTCGAAGTCCCCGCCCGGGTAACTTCAAAACAGGATATATTGTATGCAGATTTGAGTACTACATGTACCGTACTTGCCTACTCAATGATGTTCGAATGTGCGGTAGCTCCGCTAGCTTTAAGTATTTAATTTATAACCCTCATAATTTGTATAAGGCAGATATTACACAGAGCCGATCTTTGTAATTCTAAATGATCAATATCCCACAATAGCTCTCAAGGTCGATGTCGGGTTTCTCGCACGCCGTATATATTGCTAAGACCCGGCCCATATGAGAAGTATGCAATATAGCCCCAGAATGGGCAGGAAGTACATATACCCATATATATATAAAGTACTGATATTATATAAGAATCTCCAATTAATTAATTGCCACACTGTCTGAATTCTGATAGGACTTGTATACAAGCGAAGAAAGTCAAACAAAGCATGCATCACTGTTTTTAGGCGATTCCAATCGCTTGGGGAAAGTCTCGAGCGCTCTGAGTCAAGGCGAATCACTCGGTCCGGGCGCCAAGACAACTGTTCCATTCTCGTATAATAACTAAGGTGCGTAAGTACATGTACTTCTAATATGTATTATCGTTACTCTCTGATGTACGCTCATTCAATCTGATTGGTCGTGAGAGACAGGGGCGATTCAGTAAGCACGACACATCAAAATTCTGAGTGCTCACGATTGAATGGGGCCGAAGGTCCCCATAGTAGAGAGAGTGTGAATTGGAGAGAGTAGGAGGTAGAAGTGGGAGGGGGGAGGGACCGAAGGCCCCCCCATTGAAGGCCTTTCACAATTATTGAACACTTGATTGATACCCATAATCCAAAGTACAACTCGCGGTCGCGAGGTGGGCCACTACTAGTAATATCGTCATACACATATATCTACATATATACAATGTACCTACATGTCCTTGCCTCGAGATGTTTAATTCCACCAGAAATAGTCAAACCGACCATTATATTATCAAAGTTCTCTTAATTAGACACCATTCAAAACTTCTAGTACAATGTTTTCGTGATAGATCGAGATATTCCTACTGGTATACGTACATATGTAGTTATAGGCAGCTAAAGGGAGCTAGTACTTTGGTTGCGTGTGGTACGGAAGCCTTTAGAGAGAACTACATGTATTGATATATCGTGTAGTCATATATCTTGAGTGAAAGAATATACCTTTATAATTTAAGGAGGTACGTACGTACATGTATATATGTGCGCCTAACTAGATGCTGGAGTCGTAGTACTGGTACGGCCTATAAGCAAGCTCGAAATATTGTGACTCGAGATAACTGACGGTGAGCTCAAGGGGGCTCGGCCCTTGGGAAATTTGTGCCCGCCAAGGTCTCAAGTTTCTGTGCAAGCAATGTGTACTTGATATTTCTATAGGATACATACATGTATACATGCTATAGAGAGCTGACTTGTACTGATGATTTGTAACATTGATAATGTCTTTACTTAATTACATGAAGCATCACCAGTTGCCAAGGCTTATTCCCTCAAATATATAGAGACCCAAAAGTACTCATTAGAAAGCATCATTACTTGTAAATAAAAGTATTAATAAAGGTATCAGTAAAGTGATCTTGAAGATTATCCAGTTCCCCTTATAACGACTTTCCCCCGACGCGGCTTTCCCCCGAAGCGACTTAACTAAATATTTTTCAAGTACACATTTCCATACGCTATAGAGTCAGTACTTGCTTTAGGCATGGTTTGGCTAGCTGCTATGTAGCTAACTACCTAATTTCTCACGTATGTCTCAGGAAAACAATATACACGAGATGATAGCAGGCCTTAATTGTTCTTGTGAAAGGTATCGTACGCGTATCAAGCCACGATAATTTAAGGTCTACACAAATGGCACAGCATACAAAGCCGTATACATAATTACACGTATATATACCATGGCTATAATATTCATTAGGGGTATTCACTTCTAGAAATATGTGCCTTTATAACGTACGCTGCATTACAACGCCGCTTATATGGCACTGGAATTTTCAAAAATCTGAATACCTCTGGAGTGCACATGCCATATTGTGGAGTAAATCTGTTACCATATTAATTTAAGATTTGTGCTTAGTGTACTAGTCAATCACCTTTATATGGTACACATATATGGGCAATAGTCTGGACAATAAGGTAGGTTGGTGATGCTTATTTTCTCCTCATACATATTCCAGAATACGCGACTGCCGATTATTTTAAGTGGTTCATATAGGCACATGCCTATAAGAGCACGTATTCCGGCAAGTGAATACCCATATTATATATATACTTTATATCATTATAATATTCTTAAATTCGTCTCGCGATCGGCTTGTATTACCAAAGCAGTAAATATTATCAAAAGTGGATTATATTATTAAAGACCCGGCCCTGTATTTCTTACGAATGTAAGGCCTCTAAATTCAAGTGTCCTCCCGTGGTAAAAGCTCTTATTTTTGCCATACGCGTTTCTTCTCGCTTGCTCTTGTACTTGGTAGAAGATCCGGAATATCTTGCAATACAAATCATTGACCTCCGGAAGTGATGGCGCAGTAGATAGGCCTAGAATATTGAGTAGTTTAGAGATTGACTCTAGTTCAAATCCCTCAACGCTCACTTTTGCTTTTTATTACCGCTATGGGAAACAGGTAAATGTGTACTTTAATGCATCAATTGATGCATTAAATGATGCATTAAAAGATTCATTTTTTGATCCATTATTGATGCATTTCCACGCATATATATATTAAAAGTAACACATTTTAAATACTACTTTCGGACGAGCTCACCCATACAAAAAAATATGCATTACCCGTACCCCCCAAAAAGATGTATTAAAAGATGCATTTACATGTCTGGTAGAGACAGTATTGCTACAGTGCAATATAGGTTAGGATTCCGATTTGATTCGAAATTCGGAAGTTTTACATAATTCCATATTAGTACAAGACATATTGCATCCCCATTTTGGGTACTGTAGTATACAAGAAGTGATTTCTAGGTAGGATCTGATCATTATAATAATTTAAGCTATTAAATCATAAATATATATATATATATATTTGCTGGAAGGACCTCGAAACATTGTAGTCCACGAGAGCAATTATACTTGTCTAGCTGGCCTAAGCTATTAGGAGTTTGGCCTCGAGGCGCCTTGAGGTGTACGTGTCTCGAGGTGCTTTGATATTTCTCGAGGCTGACCTGTATATCGAGTTTATGAATATTACAGACTGCAAATTAATTAAGTTATGGAAGCACGGGGTAATCTGTTGATAGAGAATTAATTTCCATTACATCTGAGCTTAGTACGTAGCATCTTGTTCTCTTCAAAGGTCCCAAATCCAAACTGTGACAATTTCTATACATTATTAATTAGCAAAGATTCAAAGTCTCTGGCCATCTGTAGGGCCATATATACTGGTCTCGCTAGTATATACCTCCGCCTCGTAGAACACTGGCCTCATATATATATCGTCGAGGCGATGTCCTCGAGATACAGACACGAGGACGGACGCTAGCGCTCGTCCCCGTGGACCGATCGTCATAATCGAAACTATACTTGCAAGCCGTCCCCCGATCTCTTGAAATGAATCAATCAACCCTCATTTTCCTCTAGATCTATCTAAACTGCTAGTACTATATGTAAGAATGTAGCTTAAATTTTGCTTATACCCATAATCGCATTTGACTTGATTGGAGCTTTCAATATGTCAAGACCTGAGAAACATCGACAGAACGCCTCGAGATACATGTATGTACGTGTATGGGTCGAGATAATTAATCAAGACAAACATTACTCGAGAAATATGTACCCTCCTGCACATCGCGAGTTATATGATGGACTTTACTGATCTGCTGCTGTTGCTGTTTAAGACGAGTTATTCAAGACAAGCTTACAAGATGCATGTCTCAGCACCTAGTAAAGGATCCATAAATGTGTATCTAAGAAGCTATACGACGTATATATGTACCTCCACGAAAAATCGGTTTTCTATATATTGTTCCTGGAAAAAAATACGTTGGTACTGCCAGAGCGGTCTATAACTACTTAAGTCGGAACCTAGCATATAGATCGAACTTGTGCGACAAAACAAGAGATCAAGCAGATCCATTTGCATCTCGGTTTTCATTTGTATTATAGACACACATTGTTATTTTGGCTGTTACACAGACTAATAGATCGATCTAGATGTACTTTGTATGATAGTCATGCAAAAACAACCAACGAACCTTCATTATGATGGTGTGCGCAGAGATATGATTGAGAGAAATTTTTTGTTTACATCCAGTATCTTCGTTTAGGATCAGGGTTCAGGTATTTCGTGAGATAATATGATCGACATATTGGTCAATGGCTAGCTAGAACTTAGAGTGGAAAATTAAAAGATGGAGATTAAGACATGTGATGGAAAGATTACAATGGGTGCCACGGTTAGGTGAAGGTAGAGCTAGCAAAGTGCGAGTTTCTTTGGCTTTGTGTATTTCGTCCATTTGTGCTTTCTTTCCTCGTAGCCAGCGTTCGGCCCTGTGTGTGCTACAAACATGTCATGTGAGTAAAATGAATTTGTAGGGAGATTATCAAGGTGTGCGGTACCTTCATATAGGCAACTCGCACAATATATATCATTTTCGCAGCCTGAGCACCGATACTCTCCGTCTTCATTACATATACCTATAAAATATATAGTGAGAATTTTTTAAAGCCTATTGCTATTGTAATATGGAATAGGGAAAAGACTTACAGCACCATGTATCCGATTCCTCCAGGACTGGATCTACATCAAACCCTTGCTTCGTTCTCGGATCCATTCTAGGGGCAGGCGGGAGTTCCAACCCCCCCAGAGCTTCAAATCGCTTGAGAAGATCCTCATCAAGTTCGATCTTTTTTTGGGCAGGGGACCTCTCCCGGTCGCGCGTTTGCGGTCTCTCCTCATCAAAGTCATTCGTGGTGATTCCGTGTGCCCTTTCAAACTCTATCTCATCTTTGATCATTTTCAAAATATCCTCCTCCGCGTCTGTATCGCTTTTAATGTCTTCTTCAGATATGTTGCTTTGTAGCCAAGTTGGTACCACCTCAACGCTAACTTCCTTTCCACTCCTAATTTCTTGCATAGAGGTTGGTATCTTTATATCCGCGAGCAGCTGTTCAATCTGCTTCTCATCGATTTCATCTGCTGCCCATGATTCCTTTTCCGAACTCAATGCGTTGATAAGTTCCTGAATGTGATGGGTGGTGGGTTAGAGATTAGAGTGAGAGATATTCACGTTTTTTATGAATTGGTACTCAAACCTGTATGGGTAGTTCTTTATCAAATCCATAGTATCTATCACTTGCAATCTTTTCCGATAGGCCCTTGCTCCTTTGAGAGGTTGGTGGTTTCTGGAACATTTTCTCGAAACGCATGACTAACACATCGTCATGATCATTATTTGATTGTGGTTCAGAATCCTGAGTGATGGGCGCAGCGGTGTTTCTATATTATAAATATTCATTAATAAGGCAATTCATTGACGTCCCACTTTGTCTTTTTTTTTTTTTTTTTTTTAGCTATAGTGATATATATGCATATGTGCAATGAGGAAAGCTTCTACTTACTCTGAATCCAGAGAGTGTCTCAACGCTGCCAGGCGGCGAGCAAGATCATCATCCATGAAGTCTCTAAGGCACGTTCTCAATGCGCAGGCAAGTTCACGTTGCGTTCTTGTATCCTTATCGATAAGATTTGTAATATCAGGTATGGTTCTGGATCGTTTGTTGTCGATAGGTACTCAGGAGGGTTAGGGTTTCTTTGGAGTGGCCCGATCTTCTCCTTCTAACCCTCGATTGTAGCAAGAGGGTAATTAAGTGCATAACATTACCCGGAAAACTGAGATGAGACGAATGAGATGCAGGGTTCAAAGCTAGGCGTATACAAGTACTAAATGAAGAACGGATAGTCTAGCTAAGCTCCATGACGGGCAAGAGAACACAAGTGCTTTCACGTCACACAGAAATCAATGAGCATGAGAGTCTCTTTCGACTTTCTCGTCAGTGGCTTCACGGTTGGCTGTTCAATCTCACGGGATAATTTCTCGTTATCTTCCTTCGATGACACCTTGCTTTCGACCCAGTCTCTCGCAATCTCAGTTATCACTGTAATTACGTCGATTTTAGTATTTCGCTATTGGCAATCTCTTAAGTATGCAGCAGTATCCTACGAAATTCCGGTACCAAAGCAATGCAGCGAAGAATGGACAGGTGATATCCTGGACAATCCTTCTATAAGGGTTAGTGAAGCTCGCTCCCGGATGATGTTACCAAAACTTACGAATAAAAGACCGCTACAGATAACAACATCAATTGCTACTGTCCCGCCAATGGAAAGTTTCTGGGAAAGGTTACACCGGCATCTCCAGAAGATATTGACAACGCGATTGCAAAATCCGCTGTAGCTCAGAAACAATGGGCCAGAACATCGTTTGAAGAACGGAAAAGAGTTCTCAGGACTCTCCAAAAGTAAGTCTATAGAGCAGCTAAATTCATTTGTTAGTAGGTATTTGATAATCTGATGGACTCATCGGTAGGTATATACTTTCAAACCGAGATATAATCATCAAAGCAGCGTGTCTTGATTCAGGCAAGACGCGTATCGATGCATCCTTGGGTGAGATCTTGGTTTTAGTTGAGAAAATCAAGTGGATATTAGGTTACGGAGAGAACGCATTGAAACCCGACAGAAGGTCCGTTTCATGGCCACTGATGTGCTATAAGAAGGCAGAAGTACGCTATGAGCCTTTGGGAGTTGTCTGTGCTTGCGTTTCCTGGAAGTACGTTTCTTTCATATTTCATAATAGATCAGTCATGCTATTATATTACATATAACTACTGGAGCTAGCTCTAACATGGTATTTCCACTTAGTTATCCGGTGAGTTTTTACGCTAGACGTATATTTAGAACCGTTGGAGTATCTAACTCACGTGCAGTTTCATAACTTGCTTTGTCCTATTATCAGTTCTATTTTTGCTGGTAATGGAATAATTGGTAAGTTCTATTATATCGAGTACTTCAAGGTCTGTGAAATAACAAGGAATACAGTCAAGGGAAGTGAAAACACAGCGTGGAGTTCCCGTTATTTTATCTCAATTGTAAAGGGTGCGCTTGAAGCTTGCGGACACAATTCAGATCTGGTACAGGTAATATACTCAAGTCTTATGTATTTGACAGCATCATCAGTTGACATATGCTACGTAAGTCTATTACATGTTGGCCTGAGGTGGCTCCGCATCTCACATCTCACTCTGGAATATCCCATATAACCTTTATCGGATCACGCCCGGTGGCCCACCACGTGGCTGCCTCGGCCTCGAAATCGTTAATACCTCTCTGCATTGAACTTGGCGGAAAGGATGCGGCTATTATCCTTAACGATATTCCGAACGTGAATAGCCTCTCTTCAATCCTCATGCGTGGTGTATTCCAGAGTGCTTCTCAGAACTGTGTGGGTATCGAGCGGGTGATCGCACTCCCAAAGGTCTATCCTCGGCTTGTTAATATCTTAGAAGAGAGAATAAAGCTTCTCCGGCCCGGATCGATCTTAGATGGCGATGAAGTGGATTGCGGTGCAATGATCTCATCGGCCGGCTTTGATAAACTTGAAGAATGGATACATGACGCGGTCCAAAAGGGTGCAAAGTGTCTTGTAGGAGGGAAACGATACTTGCATCCCAAACACCCCAAAGGACATTACTTTTCACCTACACTTCTCATCGACGTAACTCCTGACATGTTGATTGCACAAAATGAGACATTTGCCCCAATATTCGTGCTAATGAAGGCTCGTGATGTTCAAGATGCCGTTGATATCACGAATGGGACGGAATTTGGTCTCGGCGGGTCTGTCTTTGGAAGAAATAAGAGGGATCTCCAAAAGGTTGTACAAGAAATGAAAAGCGGAATGGTATCAGTAAACGATTTTGGGGTTTATTATCTTAACCAGTCACTCCCATTCGGTGGAGTTAAAGGCTCTGGTTATGGTCGATTTGCCGGCGAGGAAGGTTTACGGGCTGTTTGTAATCTGAAGGCAGTTTGCGAGGACATATTCCCTAGCTTGTTGAGTACTGCGATCCCACCGGTGGTAGATTATCCTATTAGAAATGGAGATAGAGGTTTGAACTTCACTACAGGTGCGTTATTTCTATGCTCATAACCCTTTGTTTTAACCACGTACTTACATCTTATCAATAGGATTGATCGAGTTAGCGTATGGAGAGACCTGGAAAAGAACAATCGGTGGGCTCTGGAAACTGGTCACTAATTTGTAGAAATACGGCCAAATACCACGCAGCGCAGATAAAGAGTTTTAGTAGAGTGGGATTTTGATTGATTTTGGTATGTTTGTTTAAGGGAGCTGTTTTCAAGTACCTATCTGGGTTTTGGAGTTGTCAACCTTAAATTGTTTCTACAATGATAAATCTGATGCTAGCTTTCGGTGGTTTTGGGTGAGCTCTTGTTTATTACGGGTGGGAATAGACGTTTTCTGCCAGGTACAAGAGTTGCACGAAAAAAGGGATCGGCGAAAGGTGATAGGAGTTCCAGTGAACCCCAGGTCGGAACAAATATTAGAACAGAAATGGGATGAGAATGTCGATCTTTGATATCAACTTGAAAAGAAAAAAAATACCATGTAGGTTCACCCGTGTCTGGGTAGCTTCCGGAGCACCACCTCCATGGCAGTAAAAACCACGAACCAATATAAAAATGTAAATATCTTAACAAACACCTATCGAATTCACATGATATTAATAATATGTGATAAAGAGATCGTAAGGTAAGGAAATTTGAGATAACATTTTATGTGACCCCCATTTGCTACATAATACTGACTTGCCTTTCTTGAGATACTATCAATCAAGGCATTACACTCCCCCTGAAATCAATTTTTCCGGGTAACTCCTCAAGAATGAAAGACGTATGATTAAACTACAAGAACAAAAAAGGGGATGTTCCTGATACGGTAGCGAGATTTCATTTTGTAGAAGAGGGCACTACTAGTGCCACATTCCCGAGAAGTGATCCTATTATATAATAGAGAAAACCTTCGATGTAACGGAGCCATTTCAACTGTCTGGTGTATGAGTACACACAGGGCCCGATTAGATGCTGAGAGTTATTGTTAGAAGCCAGTTGCACGGTGATATGCAAGTACCTGTAACGGGGGTCCTTTCTAAGAGAAATAGAATCGGATAGAATAGAGACGGCCGTGCAAGATAGACAATCAGGTTGCAGATTATTGAAAGATACTATCGCTAGAACTCAATAATCTTTAAGGGCTCTGCTACCGATAAGAACTTGATATTTCTTTCTGATGAAGACCCGGGAGAATAGGACTGAAGGGCGAGAATGAACCTGAGTACTTCTACTCCGAAGGCCTCTATTCTCTGTTCCTAACTTCCTTACTAAGTTCCGGTGGAGCATTTCCTCGGTGTCGGAAACAATACCACCGCTATCGCGCTTTTCTCTAAGCGTCAGCAGGTGTTTCTGATACCCAAGACAACCACCCTTAGTCAAAGCCTTTGTAATACCTGCAGCTTTGGTTGCCACACAACCGAGGACCTGCATGAATGAGCTGCCGCTCAGGTGTAAGCTTAATCATTGCTGTAGAGCTTTCACTTATTGTAGACTTCCCTAGCATAGTCTCTGCCGCTTCGGCGGACAAACAATGCTCCGAGGATACAGAGGATCACCGGGCAATCAGAGTCTCACTCTGGCCAGTCTTCTAGTCACTGGCGAGGCATAGACTCGTCAGTCGTTGCTCCCATGAATAGATCCCCTTCCTAGCGCCCGTAATGTAGTTACTCTAACAGCTGGTAGCTAACCACACTGCCGGTACTTGCATATCACCGTGCAACTGGCTTCTAACAATAACTCTCAGCATGTAATCGGGCCCTGTGTGTACTCATACACCAGACAGGTGAAATGGCTCCGTTACACCACTCCCCTCTTCCAGGATCTTGGTCTCCGAGATCTATAACCATTCTATTACCATTCATTCTATATGACAAGAAACTCCGTGATATGCAAGGAAATGAAAACCCAAAGGAAAAAAATCTACACCCCAACAATCCGCTTGTCCTTGGGTTTCTTAGGATACCTCATATGGAAGTCTCGAAGGGCTTCTTCAGCACTCTTCTTGAGATGCTCCCAGGGTTCTCATGTAGCATCCTCCTTCTCATAACCTTCCCACAGCACTAGATATTCCACTCGTCTTCTCTTCTTGTTGACACGGCTATCAGCTACCTCTCTGTTACGGGCATGCCAAGCATTTACGGGAGTGAGAGAAAGGCTAGTAGACACCCCAATACCCTCTGTACGCTAATATCAACTCTTGACCACACTCGCGGAGTGTGGTGCGACCAAATTACGACCAAAAAACCCAGAGTCATAAAAAACACGTTTTCGACCCCAATAATAACCCCCGGAGCGTCAAACCGCCGGAGGGGAGTGTTTTGGTACCGGTGGATATATGAGGGACAGCTGGAATCAATCGGATCGAAGATCGGACCCCTCGGAGCGAATCGGCGCAAGCTGCCAGCCGACCGAGTACCTATCGGCGGTACCTGTGGGCATGAGAGGACTCTGCTATATGGGAAAGCGATGTGGGAAGAGGCCTGAGTAGGTAGCCTTGCCGTCCGAGACCTCCGAATAGCCGACGCTGATGATTATCCACCAGACGGCCGATGGAGAAGAAACATCGACAGGGAAACGTGCATTAGAGTGGATAAATAGGTTGAGGGGTTTTAGCGGGTTTAGGAGTTTAGGGTACGGATTTAGGAGTTAAATGTTCTTGGTTGTTTTTCAGGGTCTCGGGCATGCCCCGAGTGTATTCTGTATTATTAGACTGGGTCCTCGAGACATAAGCGAGGGATATAAATACTGTGTCATTCACTGACTAGCCAAACCATCATCGGCGAAATCAGAGTCTTAACAATATAAATCGTTGATACGCGAGTTACAACTTTATTTGACTATACTTTCTGAAATACTTTACTCTATCGTGACTTCGAACTCTACCTGAACTATTACGTCGAAGACGGTCGAACATCACACGCTAACTCTAGTGAATCTTTGTTGATAACGTAGCTCGCGGGGCCCGTATCGGATCAAGGAGAATCATACTCGACGTTGACTGAAGAGACCTTGGAGACTTCTACCTTTGTAGCTGTTAGCCGAACTCTGAGCTCTGCGTAGTGTACTCTTGTGGTCTGGTACGCATCCCTCACAGTATATTGTTACTCGCAAGTTCACTTGGAGTAACGAAGTCACCTCAAAAGAAGAACTATCATCATTATCCCCTATCACAATGACTACCCGAAGGGATAATTATTTCATAGACACCTCGGCCGTAACTGAGGAGGCCGGAGGAGAAGATTCTATGGTAATATCAAGGGCTGCTAGCCCCGACCCCCTACTCACGGGAGGACCCTCTACACAAACTAGGTCAACGAGTAAACGCTCTGCTCAAGCCCAGTTCGTGAGGAATATGCAGGAGTTTTTGGATACCCATGAGGCACAAATGAGGTATCTTGGTGCAGCTGGACAGGCCGTTTGGCAGCAGCTACAAAACCTCCAGGAACAAGTCCAAGGGAGTGGGCAAATCCTGGACAAAAAGGTACGGCAAGAAGCCATTGCCCAAAAACAACATCTGGAATCGCTCTTTGAACTCGTCTCCAGTGTCCAACAAGTACACGAAGCTGCCCGAGCCGCCGACCACAAGGTTCTGGAGCAAAGTCATCTACAAACCCAGAACCAGTTACAGGAGGCGGAGCGACAGCTGAGGATGGTGAGAGAAGAGCGGGAGCAGGAAAAAGGGGAGCAACGAGCTTGGTTTGCGGAATTCAAGCGGTCCGATGCGGAAACAAACCAACGGATAGCCGAGATGGAGGAACTACTGCGACAACATCTGTCAGTAGCACCTTCTGTGGCAAGTGCTCCTTTAGACCCTAATGCGCCCCGAACGGTTCCTGTTGGCAATGGCAAGAAACCCGAAAATACTGGCCCAGTAGGAGGAAACGCTGGTCCAGTAGGAGGAAATGGGGGCAGGCGGCCGGAGGATGCCGGCCCAGTACAGGGCAATAATGGCAGAGGACCGGTGGGAGCTGCTCCAGTTGGTGGGAATGGTGGGAATCAACCTCCACAAAACCCACCAAGAGGAAACGTTGGGGGAGACCCAGAACCTTCCGACGATGATGACGACGATAATAGTGAATGGTCGCACGGTCGGAAGAATTGGAGAAGGAACCGAGGCGGGAACCGGAATACCGCGCCGCCTGAAGACGACGATATGGTAGATTCGCTCGCCAAAATACCTTTTGAGTTCGATAATGCCAGAAAGCATAACCTGCGGCATTGGCTCATGGAGTGCGAGATCTACTTTGAGCAGAAGCCCAAGAAGTTCCGAACGGACAGGAACAAAGTACTGTTCGCTGGAACGTATACGTGTGGGTTAGCAAAGGAATGGTTCATGGAGTACATCGAGACCAAGATGCTAGGTCCAGCAGCCGCAGACTACGCCACCTGGACTCGATTCCGTCAGGAGATCAGAAAACGTTTCCTAAGCACTCAGGAAGCTATGGAAAATGCGATGAAGATGCAGCAGTTCAAGTACTCTGCTAACATCGGGGACTACCTGACGAGGATGGAGATTATGAACCAGCATGCCCAGATGAAAGGGGCATCCTACCGCGCCGCCTTGCTCCAAGGACTACCAAATGAAATCCGGGAGCGCCACTCCCGCTTCGACCCAACTGATGACGACTCCGAGTACATCCAACAGTTGGAACGAGCCGGCAAGGCTCACGAGGCTTATCAGGAGCAGATGAAGATGTTGGGGAAAGTAGAGTCGAAAGGAAGGGAATCGAATAATGGTGGGAACTCGCGGCAGAAGGAGAAGGGGTTTAAGATCAAGGGGAGGGCTCAGACCGAGGAGAAGGAAAAAGGACAAGATAAGAAGAGTACCAGCAAGAACAAGTCGGGGAATAAGCCAATATACCACGACTACGACGAAGCCACCAAAGGAGTTCCACAGCCGGTCCGAGAACAGCGAAAGACCGATGGAGCCTGTGTGCGATGTGGCCGAAAGGGTCATCTTTGGAAATGGTGTCGTTCAGATGCTAACAGCAGTGCATCTATCTCCTCTTTCTCCCGAAAGCGTACCCGCGATGACGATGGCGACCACGATATGGAACCACCGGAACCCCAACCTCAGAGAAAGCGAATGAGGCACCGTGCTAAGAAGCCGGCTGCGACGGCTGCTGCGGAGTAC